TTTAAAAAAATAAATAAAAAATAAAAAGACCAAAGAAGGGGCGCCTGGGTGGCTCAGTTGGTTGAGTGTCTGACTCTTGGTTTAGGCTCAGGTCGTGATCTCATAGACTGTGAGATTGAGCCCATGAGGGCTCCCACCCAACGGGGAGTCAGCTTGAAGGATTCTCTCCCTCTACCCCTTCTCCTATGCTCTCTCTCTCTCCCATTCTCTCTCTAAAAATAAATAAATAAATCTTTAAAAAGAAAAACAATAAAAAATTAAAATACCAAAAAAAAAAAAAATTGAGGAGTATTTCTGACCCCTGCTCCTGGGGAACTGACCTTTTAGGGCTTTTGCTTCTTCCCAGGACATGGGTCCTAGCACAACAACAAGCCTCTTGTGGTCTATCTCTGGCCAGCCTTCCAAGAGATCACAGCCCAATCGAGACATCCTGCCCAGCCAAAATAGTCTCCACATGGTCATGTCTGCCATCAGCCCCTTCCTGTTATACACATACCACATGAGCTCTCTGGAGGAAAGGACTGTGTGTGTGTGTCTTACTCATAGTTTGATTCAGTCACAGCTTAACTAGCAGAAACAAAACAATTGGCAGAATTCCAACATAGGAAGAGTGTACAAAGGCTTCCCACAGCTCACCTCTGGCCACCCACCGTATTAGTTATTTTGAAGAAAAGCCAAAAAGTGGAAGGACATGAGTGCGATAGGAAGGTGCTCTCCAAGATCTTGAACACTACCTTCCTGAGCTGTAACTGAATCCGCACTTAATGGATCAGAACAGAGACCTGGGAAGTGGCCTTGAAGAGAATGTCAGAATCTTCTCTACTGAGTCTACCAGAAGTGATGGCCTTAGGTGCCGAAGGATGTGCTTGTGGGAGGACACCCTGAACAGCCACAGGACAAAGGGGAGGGAGAACCAGAGAGGCAAAGATGGGCAATACGTGTCCAGCAGTGGCCAGGGCAGGCTCTGCCATGCCAGCATAGGGGTCATGATCCTCCTCGTTGGGGACAAGGACAACTCAGGCTTTCAGAGCCCGGAGCCGTAGCACATCCCCATCCCATCACTCCATCTCTGCACTCGGCAGTCCACAAATAATCTGGTGCCCACTGCCGCATGACTACAAAGAGAAGGTGCTAGAAATTCCAATAAAAGTAAATTCCAGGAGACCAAGGACTATGTCTGCCTTGTTCACCCCAGTACCCCCAGTGCCCAGGTGCTGGATATTTACTAAGGGACTGATTTGATTAGTGGGGAAACCAAGGTAAGGAACGGGTTTGCTGGACAGTTTTACTCTCCTAAGTTTGCTTTTTCTTATTTATTTATTTATAAAGATTTATTTATTTATTTTAGAGAGAATGGGAGGAGGGGCAGAGGGAGAGGGAGGAATCTCCACGCTCAGAACAGAGCCCCACACGGGGCTCAGTCCCAAGACCCTGAGATCACGACCTGAGCCAAAACCGAGAGTCAGACTCTTAGGCAACTGCACCACCCAGGTGCCCCCTGAGTTTTCTTTTTTAAAAACTTGCCTCCAAGCATTGGTGTTGAGACAGCTTTCTTCTAGAATCCCCTCTCTTTTTTTCTCCTCTTAACCAAATGCTACTTGTTGCTTTGCGGCTTCATTCGGATTCCGTTGCAAGCCACAAATGCCTCTCCTTCACCTGAACTCCCAGAATTACTTGGGCTGTAACCATCTGCTGAGGACGGGCCAGAGGAGGTAGCACTTGGCCCTGGGCAGGCGGACATAGGGCGTGGAGGGAGCGGGAGGGACATTCTAGGAAGCATAACATCTCCTCAAAGAAGAGCGGGAGGGGTGCCTGGGTGGCTCAGATGGTTGAGCGTCTGCCTTCGGCTCGAGTCATGATCCCAGGGTCCTGGGA